AGTTTTTCGAAACGTGATTCCAGCAGAACATTGCATTCGCCCTCGCCCACATCCCAAACGTCCTGCAGATTATTAATGCCTTTGGATTGTAAAGTATAAAGGTCAGTATAAAATATACAGTTGGTATTTGAAAGAAAAAATTAACTTAGAATTTATAAAAAAAAAATATTTATAGCTTCCCTGGTTGAAAAGTAGAAACGCGTATGCGTGAGGTTTGCAACAAGGGGATTTCAAATGCAAATCACTTTGCCACAAATCACACACACAAACGTCTACGTACGCACACTTATTCTAAAAAACACTGATTATAGTATTATAATGTTCGTCACACCAACTACGGTTATTCACTCACCTTGACACCACTTATACGCCAACAGTGGTGGCGGTTCAGTGTCACTTGGTTTTATCCATGGCGGGAAGAGCCGACGCTTATCCGCTTCATACCATAAATATTGATCCAAATAAGCATCCGTTATTTTCTCTAATGGTTCAACATCGTAGACGGGTATCAAATGGCTATACAAATCCATGAACTCAATACCAACCTAAAAATGTTTACAAGGGAAGATGTATAAGGAAAATCTTTATATAAACGGGAAAAAATTCAGATCTTAAATAGAAACTTATTATTTGTGTAGGGCATTCTAGCTTCGGGGCAGCCGAAGTTAATAGTCTTCCTTGTTTTAGTTAACATACCTCTTTGAATGCACGCTGAGTTAGTAAATGACGCTTGATACGCGACAATGCCTCATGCGGGTTATCATAGGCCTGTTCAATGAGACCCAATTCTTCACGCTGGCTTTGATTCAGGCGCGATTTTACACTGTATGCTTCTTTTAGGCGCTCCAAAGCCAAAATTAGTAATTTAGTGTCGTGTTTATATGAAAGCGGCGGGAATGGTATGGGGCCGAAGCGTCGTGATTCCAACCAATGCACTGTTGTTGTGTAAATGGCTACAGCTTCTTCGGGTGATATGTATGGACCATCTTTTAAGTAATTATGTTGACGTTCTTGCTCTGCCTTTAAATATAGACGTGTCAAACGACCTAAATTTTTTTTGCAAACCGTTTTGTCAACTGTAGCGCCACGACGTATGCGCTCGCGATTGTAGTGTGCAGTGTTAGTCCACCAATCAGCCTTCATTTTGACATAACGCAATATCATGTTTTCTATAGGTATTGGCAGACCCGGTACTTTCCATGGTATATTCGCCTTCCAACAACGCCAAGCTTCCGATAAGTGTTGCAATATGGTACGCGCTTTGTTTTGCTTTATACCTTCCGGCATCATATCAACGATATCGTGCATAACTGAGGCACGTAACTCCAAATCGAAATGTGATTCGACACGTTGCTTTGTGACGGTCTTCGCGACACCCTTTGAATGACGGCCCTCAAATTGACGTGACAACAAATTGCCCAACCAACGTTCTAACAGCGGAGTTATTCCCCGCATAAAGAATAACCAAACACGCCAACCCGGCGCCCAGAAACCACAGCCTGGACCTTTGCCAACAGGACCCTGCGAGAAAAATTATATACAACTATTAGACCACATTTTATCATTCAAAACAAATATACCTACCGTATTGAAGCGATAGTAGATTAGATGTTTTAAATCCTTGCACATGCGTATTTGTCTCATTAATTTGTACTTGTAGCGATACATGCCAGACAGCTGGCCAACATGTGCGAATATATACTGCAGTCCATCAGCCAGTTGAAAAGCGTCGACATTATTAAGACGATATTGGACGTGCGAGTCAATGATTAATTTAGTCAGATGCAGGATTTCACGACATAAATGGAACGCTGTAAGTTGAAAAGAAGGTCTGTGTTGAATTATAAAAATGCATATGCTATTTTATGATACCAACCGTTGCCGAAACGTGATTTTTTACGTTCTTTTGTTGTTAGAGTTTTCACCGGTTTTAAGTTGAAGTTATAATCCAAATGCAAATAGTTTAGATTTTTACGATGGATCAATAAATTAAGCATATTGTAACCCTGTCGGCAAACTTGCAAGCCAGCTTCGACCCAATCTAAGGTGGTGGTTTGGAAAAATTTCGTCGCTTTAAAAGAGCGAAACAGATACCTAAAGAAAAAAAGCAGGGTAATATACTAAAATTTTTATAAGACAGCTTTTTGGGCTAACCTCTTTTTCTGTGGTTTTGGCTTGCGATGTTTTAGCGCATTTAATACGTAGTACTTCAAAAGCTTCTGATAGCTCACGCGTACTTTAACAGGATGACCTGGTGGGCAGTGCTCTTTGTACCAACTTTTAACAAGCGGAACGTCTATGGCACGACGCGAACGACCTGAACGTAAGTTGAAAGGTCGCGGTGCCCACAGCAGTGCTATACCGTTGGCTGTGTTGTCAGTATAAAGCGGTGTGTCTTGTAGGAAAGGTTGTACTTCATCGGGCAATGAGAAATCTTCGTCATCATCCGGCATTGGCTCCGCAATCTTGGTATTAGCATGACGATGTGAAATCGGGTTTATTAGCGGATCGAAGTAAAATGCTGGCAAATCAGGATCTTCAGTTTTAATGTACACAACATTGGGTGTGTGATACCTATGCGATAAATAAAAGTGTATATATGTATATATGATTACAACTTATTTGTTAATATTATTTCATATCTTAACGTTTTAATGTAACTGTATGCAACTGTCAGCAGCTGTAGGGGAGTAAACTTTCTCTTACAGCTTCAACGCAAATCGCACCTCTAAAAACTTTTTACAATAATGTCGCTTGAAAGTAGTAGTTTTCTTATGAGTTTTGTTTTTTGTACCACCAACATTAAATAAGAGCAAAAATAATGCTTTGAATTTCCGCATTTTCGAGTGGTATACAATATTTAGAGTATGATAAGATATCCGCTTACCAAGAAAGGTGCACGAAATGAGGCATATTATTGTAAAGATAGGGAAAAGCAATTCGATATTCTGTGCGAATTGGTTGACGTATGATAACCTTATTGATGTCATTAAATTCATTCCAGTCTTCATCGCTGTTGAAAATCAATATAATATTAAAATGTATATACAAAATTTATTTTATTCATTAATTGAGCTTACCCAACGTTGTGATCTTTTATGAGCGGTTCGAATTTCGGACCGCCTGGTATAGCCATATTAAGGGCTTTGGCGGTAAAGAAACTTTTGGGGTCGAAAAGGTAGAAAAAATTGTCATCTACTAAATCAGTGAGCAACTGATTGGCTAATCGATATAACGTGGCCAATTGCGGTAAGGTCAAATTCCATTTACGATAAGTGGATCCATTCACGTATGGAGTACCGACGAGTGGTCTGTGCTCGTAGAACCATTTATATACAGGTCCATCTTCTTCCGGATCTAAATCAATTTGGATGGCTTCCAACGGTTCAACATCCAAAATATTATCTGCATAGTCTAGCGGCGGTTCTTCATCATCAAAGGGAGGGAATCGCATACGTTTAAAATGACGACGATCGCGTTTTTCTCGACGCATCATAATCCACATGGTTCTAAACAGAAAATATTTATTTTCTTATAAATACAACAAAATACATGTAGTACTTACCCCCATTGTGCTATATAAACTGGTTCAATAACCCATGGTATTTCATTTACGAAAGTTATCGCACCAGTTATGTGATACAGGACTTGTACATCGCGTATTTGCTCCCAGGGCATCGGCATGTTTTCAAGTAGTTTTAAAACTGCATGTGGCATATATTTCAATGCTCCCAAGTATACACGTTTATCATGCCGATATTTACGAGAGGTCATATCACCATGATCACGTATTATTTTGCGTATGTGCTCAGGTGGCATATCTTCTTTTTGAGCATCGACAAAACCAAATTTTCGTTTCTCTGCGAATCTTTTCGATTGTAATTGGTGCCATTTCTGCGCTTTTTCTTGTAGCTTCTCCTCAGTAATAATGTCGGGTTTGGGTGTTGGTATTTGGCCTAGTTGCGGTTGATTGATACCGCCGACACCATTACTACCACCTATTCCACCTTGTACCATACCAACACTTCCATTTGTCATCGGTACCGGTAAAGGTGCACCTGGTGGAGGAATTTGTTGTATTTGATTTGCCATTTGGTGTGCATGCATTTGAGCTTGCTGCACTTGGGCAGCAGCAGCATATGCCTGTGCCTGCTGCTGCGCCATAATTTGTGCCGCCCAAGCATTGGGAGGTATCATATATGGTGGCAACGACATTTTCGCGTGCCTTTTTTATAAACAAATGTTTTCACAAAACTGAAAGTAGAAAAAATTCGCAATATGAATATGTGAAAAACTAGACTACGGATACACAAAACAGTGTGTCGCGACGAAAGCAGCCCTTGCTGACATCTCGGCTTGGTATGCAAATTTCATTTCAAGCAATTTAGGTGTAAATAAATAAATAAACGTCATACTGATACACTCACCTAATGTCTCGTAAATTAAGTTTTATTTTTTACACTATTATAGAATTGAATACCAAATATTTTTCAACAGAATAATAAAAAATTACGGAAGAAATGTGTGAAAACGTTTTCTAATCGAATCGCGGTCGAAGAGTTGCCGACATCTTCAAACACATTCACAAGCCGCTGACACAGAATGACGGAATAGAAGAAATGGGACTATAATGGAAATGAAATATCTAAATTAATAATTTTAGAATCAGAAGTATATATATTTGAGAATATCCGTAAATAAAACACTTCTTATAAATTAAATAATAGATTAAATTTATGACGGATATTTTATATGGTTTAATAGGTTATGTATGAATGTTAATTACGTATAGATATACAAATATTTTTTACTTTTGTATTAATATTTTATATAAGTAATATGTAAATTTGTTAATTTTATATAGAAATTATTGAAATTGCTTGGGTTTTCATATTATGTTTCGCAAATTCCAAACAACTTTGTTTTGCTTATTTCATTCTTAAGCCAGCAAATAGCAACGTTGCTATCAATACTAGTTATTTTCCTCGTATTTTGCCAATTTACACGTAGTGTTTTTATGATATGTGGAGTGTAAAAACTAAAAAAATCTGCTGAAATATTGTTAGTGAAGTTAATTCCTTTTACAATCAGTGTACGCATATAAAAAAAGATGTTTGCAAATTTGAAAAACAAATTAATAGAAGAGGTGAAGGCGTCTCCGTCGAAATTCCAACAATTTGCGGTAATTGAAATCAAAATTAGAAAAGGAAAACATAAGGCGATAAATAATTCCTTTCAATACTGAAATAATACCTTAAGTAATAAATTTATACTATTATCTTTTCAAATTAAAATACTTCATAGGTGGTGTTTGCAATTTTTTTTGTTTTCTTAAGCAGATATTTAATTTTTAATTATGTACTTCTTGGTGTATCATTGTTATATTGACTATGGTGTCTAAAAATGGAAATAGGCTGCTGTTTCGTCGTCGGCCAGTACAACCCCAAGTGGTTCGGAATCAACTACGACAACGACAACTAACGAAAATTTCTTTAGCATTACAGAGGAAGGTGAGTATCACTAATAAAGTCTGAAATATAATTTTTTAATTATTGTACTTAATTAGATACACCACAAAATTCGCCATATAAACCTCTGAAACTACCACCTGGTTCCGTAAGCGGGCGAACATACCATAATGGACCTATCGGCGGTGCTACAGCACGTACGCGAAAACTCTCCAACTCATCTATGGCCAGCGATGTCTCATTTCGTTTGCCCACCTATGATTCACCACCTGTAATTTTTTACAAAAAAAAAAATAATAATAATAATAATAATAAATAAACATTAAGTATTATCATGTTTGTATAATTTTAGATGTACCATCTACAATCAGATTTGGAGTCTAATTGTAGTGAGCTGGAAGATACAGCTTCTACCGCAAAACTGGAAGTGGTAACTAAGGAACAACTATACGATGCTTATAAAAAATCGTTGGATCGTTACCATAAATATCGAAGCCGATATACTGATTTGGCTAAAAGATATAAGGATTTAGAACGTGACAGTACCAAAGCTCGGGTATGTACAACTGTTATCGACGTATGTATGTAAATTACAACCCATTATCAGATATTTAGCTTAAAGATAAGATATACCTACCCACTTTATTTTCGTTTACTAACCTATTTTTTTTTGTTTGAATGTCATTTTGGATTTTTTTTTTAATAAAATTAAAATAAAATGTTATTAAAATTAAATGTTATTTTAATTGAAGTATGTAAATAAAATTGTATGACAGCATTTCAATAAGCATGAGATAACTACTCAGTTTTTATTTTTTTTTGATAGTCCGTACTTGTGGAGACCCAGGAGAAGGCTATTCGCCGCATCAGTGAATTGCGTGAACAATGTTCGTTAGAGCAGCAAGCAAAAGCACATCTCGAAGAGGCTTTGCGCATGGAAATGGATGATATGCAATGTAAAATGCAAGCATATCAAACTAAATTGAAATTACTTGGTGAAAATCCCGACAATGTGTCTGCAGTACTCCTAAAAAATGAGTCTAGTGATACAATTGGCGGAGTGTCACTTATAGATTTGGATGATAAAAATAGCAATACCATACATTCAGAAGATTTGAATGAAAAGAAAACAGAAGATAATCTTTTAAGTTTGAAAAATGGACAAGATTTTCCACAAATAGAACAACTGAAGAAAGAGTTGGATAATCGGGAACGCAAAATCGAGGAGCTGATGGCTAAAATGTCAAATGCCGAAGATACCATATCACAATTACGTAAGCAAGAAGAAGAAAACGCGTTGTTATTGGCTCAAACAAAGCAGGCTATTCACTCGGAGTTAGAAAACAAGGAAAGCGAAGTAAAAAGGTTAACATTTAAAATCAACGAATTGCAAAAGGACGAGCAAGACGCTGCAAAAAAAGAAAAACAGTTAAGTGCTCAAGCGAGTGAACTCAATGAATTGCATGAGAAGTTAAAGAATCTACAAGTTGCCAAACAAGAAACTGATGCTAAACTAATTGCATCGGAACACATGTTGGGTCAAATGAAGGAACAGCTTCTTGTAAAGGATAATGCAATAAAAGCTTTTGAACAGAAATTGTCGAAAGGGCTTAAGGACAGCGAACACAAATTGGATGAGTTGCGACAGCAAAATGTACAATTGAATGAAATGTTACAGCGATATCAACAAAACGAAGTGTCACTTGCCGAGATCGATAACGAATTGAACAGAACGAAAAACGAAAATGACATTCTCAAAATAGCAACTGCCGAGAATGAAAGAAAACTACACGAACTCGAAGAAGAAGTACGCAGCCAAAAGGAGCAACTAGAACGCCATCAAAAAGAGCGGGCAGCTGAAGATGATCGTTGGAAACTTATGTCTGCTCGAGAGGATGAATTAACTAAGTTGTGGCAAGAAGTGCAAGCGGATAATAAAGTGCAAAGACAAATAGTAAAACGTTTAGAGTCCGAGTTGAAAATATCCAATGAACGAAATCAGAATAATGAAAGCGAAACGATTAGTGCACTCAAAACGGAATTACAAAAGGCAAACGAAGAGCTAGAGGAGAAGGTAAAAACTTTAAAGGATCAATTGGCTAATAAAGAAAAAGAACTAAAGTCAAGTGCAAATAAACTAGCAAAACAAAAGAAACAATTTGAGAACCAACAAAGTCGGATACGCGATCAAAGTGTTGAAATTGAAATGCTACGAACTGAATTGAATAAGCATGAACAACATTTGACTAATCTCCAGAATGAGTCGCAAGCACGTGAACACGAATCCGAAGCGGAGAAAACTAAGTTAAAGGCCCAAGTTCAATCAATATTACAGGATATAACGCAAATTCAAGATGAAATGCGTATTGTGAAGGAATCTCACGATGAATTGGAAGTGGAGAAGCTGAAACTTGAACAAAGGATCGAAAATATGCAACGGGAAGCACAGGATACAAGCGACGACACTCAACATTGGCGAGATCAATTGGTTGACACTGAAAACAAATTGCGCCTTGTAGAGTTAAAGTTGCAGAAAGTAGAAACTGAAAACTCGCAATTAGCAGAAAGGAATTGCTTACTAGAAGAGCAGAACAATCGTTTTGAAAAACAATTAGCCGAGCGCGAACGCCAAAAGGACACCGAAGAGGCAAATGCAAATGACCTTCGTTTACAGTTGGATAGCAACGAGATGACTTTGCGGAAATTAAACGAAAAAATGTCCGAAATACTGGATGAAAATTCTCGTCTGCACAATACACAAGAGTTAATGGATCACGACTATCGGTCTTTGCAAGATAAAAATATCGAGTTAGAAAAAGAGAAGTTAATGGCAGAGGAATTTCAAATAGATTTACAAGAAGAACTGGAACAACTGAGAGAACACAAGTTAGTATTGGAAAATAAGTTGCGTGAAACCGTGGAGCAGCTTCAACAAACCGAAGAGCAATGTGCAGAACAAAAGAAGAATACTGAAGCAATCGAAAAAGAACTGAAGGAGATGATAATAGCTCGAGAACGCTTGGAAAACCAGAATCAAATAATGAGTGCAGAATTAAATGAACTTCGGGCTGTACAGTCGGATGATGAGAAATTGCACAATTTGATGTGCGAACAAAAACGACGTATCGAAGATTTAGAACACGAATTGATTGACAGAGAAAAATCCGCGAAAGCGAATATTGAAATTGTAGATAAAGAGAATAAACATTTGAATGAAAAATTGGGTACATTGGAAGCAAGTAGAGAAGAGTTAGAAGTCACTAAGAAAGAAATCCTACTTTTGAAATCGCAAAATGAAGAGCTAAATCGAGATTTGTGTATTTTGAACAAAGAACTGAAACAAAGCCGTTACGATAACCAAGAACTTGAGAGGCAGTTGACGCCGTTGAAGACATTGGAGCAAGAGAAGGAAATCAGTGAAAAAGAACACACGACATTAAGAGATGAAATAAATAAATTGAAAGAGGAATCAAAAATGCATATTGAAGAAGCGCAAAAAAAGGCGTTGGAAGTGACAGAAATAAGGCACCAGTTGCACAATTCAAGCGAAATAAATGAAAAACTTGAAAACACCGAGTTAGAGCTGGAGAAAATGCGAGAATTAGAAAAGAAGTTACGCGCCAACGCTGCTAACGACGCTGAATTGGCTAATCAAAAAATCCATGAGCTTGAAGAACAGTTGCACACTGCCAAAAGCGATATTGAACGATTGCACGAGAGCAATGACTCTATTCAAGTGGAAATGGATAAGATACAAAACAAAAATGAGCTACAAGTGCAGAGTTTAGAAGTAAAAATACAACAATTGAAAGAACACAATGAAAAGCTTCAGCAACAGTTTGCCAGCCAAAAAGTTGACGGCGAAAAACTTGCTAATTTCGAACAAATGCAAATTGAAAACGAGTATCTGAATAAACATGTGAAACAATTGGAAACTGAACTCACGGCACAACGTACAGAAGCGTCTAGTCAGTTGCAAGAAGTCCAAGACCTGCGGGAGAAATTAAAATCACTACAATGCGAACTTTATGTGCTGCGGGAAAATGCTGAAAAACACGATGCACAGCTTGCGGAGAAACAAAAAGAAATTGATACTGCTGAGAATGAACGTACACAATTGCGTGAAATGTTGACGAATGAACACGCAGAGTTGGAACGTCAAATAGTGCATACCAAGTACATTACTGAGCAAAATGATGCTATACAAAGTGACTTATTACACAAGCAACATCAATTAACAGAAGTGGAACAACAATTGCACGATATGAAAGCTGAATTCGAAGCGGTGAACTCCACGCATGTCACAGACGTTGTTGTAAAAACAAAAGAAATAGATTCCTTGCGTTCCGAATTACAACAAATCACAGTTGAACTCAATGCAAAGGCGCAACTTCAGGAAGAGCTGGACGCTTTGCGTGTCGAACTGGCGGAATATAACCAGTTAAAAGAACTACCATTGTCGCAGGCAACTGTCGAAAATGGACAAAAATTAATTTTAGCTAGTGATGCCGAGAATTTGCGACGTATTAATGAAGCCTTACAACGTGAATTGGAAGATTTAAAACATAAATCAACGTCTGAAATCACCGAGCTGCAACAAGAGATTGAAGATATGCAAAGTAATGCGAGACATATGACTGAAAAATTGGCAGAAGTTGAAAAATTACATAGCGCCTTGACGACACAACAAGTGTTTTCGAACGCGACTGCTGACCAAGAATCTCTGCAGGATACTCGTGAAATTGCCACAGGCGGGGGAATATCTAAGTTGAAAACGGAGGAGCTGTTGCAGCAAGAAAAGGCTGAGTTGGCGACGAAATTACGGGAGATTATGAATGAAGTGCGTGATGTGTCTGAACGTAACCTTTTCCTTGAGCAACAATGCGAAAACTATTTGATATTGGAACAATCAAACGAACGTTTGAAGCTGCAAAATGCCAAATTGTCACGTCAGTTAGACGAAACATTGGTATGTATGCTCTAAAATAATTTTATAGAGTAAATTTATTATTTTTAACTTTTTATTGTGTTGTTATAGGTGTCAATGCAACACAATGAAGGCATTACAGCGAATACGGAATTCGAGTACTTAAAGAATATTATGTTTCAGGTGAGAGAGAAAAATATTTTACATAATTTTCCTGTAGWATAAATGTCATTCGAATTCGAATTTTAATCCTCAAACAAGAAGCCTTTGAAATTATTATCCATTTGCGGTCGTCTTTCGCATTTCTATGACATTTTTTTCATTCAGAAGTTCAACTTCAATATAATAATTACTGTTTGACGTCTGTCATTAAAGAAAATCTGAATTCAAAAAAATTGTTAGCATAAAATTTAAATTAAAAGATTTTGACAAAAATATTTTAAACGTTATTAATTTAAGTATTTAACGGGATCTGCCAATGGCAACAACGAAACGCTTGTCAAAGTGATATCAGCTGTTCTGAAATTCTCACCTCAACAAACCCAAGTGGCACTTGAAAAGGAGCACCAGCGACGTTCACTGGTGAGATAAATGTCAACTTTATATTTGTGTTAAACAATATATATTTTTATGGAATTTCAGATAAACAAAATTCTATAGCAAGAATTGGAGCAAGCCTACGCAGTTACATGGTGGTAGCAATAACATTGGTTTGCCAACACGAAATATATTGATCTATTAATGTATAGTAAATATTATTAGAACTACTAAATGTTCGCTACACACTTGATTGGTTGCAGGCATATGTACCGCGTACACAGATCAATAAGGAGTGCCGGTTTAGCTTCTTACCCGTATTAGGCATTTGGTATAAAATGGGATTGCAGATTAACAGTTACTGATTTGTTTTCGATTTTAGCTGCTGATAAAGCATTTTAAGTATATAAATATTCTCAACTGACTAATTCAAATAAGTACCTATGTATATCGGCAGTTCGTAATATGTTATGACGGGCGTAATCCAGTTTAAATATTTGTAAATTGTAATAAAAAATATATAAAATATAAACTGTACGCCAAATAAAAAACGTTTGTATAGACACAGTTATTGATTTGCTAAGAATTTACATTCATGTATATATACATATAAATGTATACTCGTATATATAAAATGTTCAAATGTATTACTGTTATTTTGTTCGATATTATTTTGTTTCGTTTGCGTTTGTATTTAAAAGGCATTAAGCTGTTATCAATTGTGCAATCTTGTAATGGAATTGTATGTGCTTTTTTTTATTTAGGTACATCCAACATAATTATTGAAAATATTAAATAAGTCAAAATATATCAAATATTGTTGTAATGTAAGTTTTTCAAATAACCTACGAATGTTTTTAGTTTGAAGTAAATAATATATATATATATTAACTAAAACAAAAAAAAATTTTGGAATATTTTATTGTTATTTTTAATTTGCGGGCTTCGGATCCGATTTCTAGTTGATGACGATGCGAATTTATTATATTTACAATATCAATCTGCTCAGATTACCAAAATGAAATTATGATATCTCAATATTACCATAAATTATTACTTGTTTTCTTGCCAGAAACAAAAGCTCTATGGAGGCAGGGAAGGAAGTATTTCTTCGCAACTCTCCAATTTATACTAAACTGATATTGGTCTCGGATTGACGTTAGCCGCCTTAATAAATTTTTGGTAAGTTTAAAGCGCTTCATTCGTCTATTTGGGAATCACAAAGGATCAGCTGTCCAAGTGGGATCCTTCATTACTTTTGGTGCGAGCATGAACCATATATCACATAACCTTTTTACCTTGTACCAATATTGAAAAAAAAAAAAAAAAAAAAAAAAAAAAAAAAAAAAAAAAAAAAAAAAGAAAAAAAAAGAAAAAAAAAGAAAAAAACAGAAAAAAAGAAAAAAAGGGAAAAAAATATGAATATTTTTTATATTTCACTCTTTTAACATTTATTTCTGTAAACTTTCATGGAAAAATATACATACATTTCATTCTTGAAATAAATTCATATAACTTATGCACAGCGGAAAACTAAAATAAATATTTCTTAAGACGTTATTTAAAAAATTTATGTGACGTAACATAAAAATTCAAAATATAAATTAAAAAGTTAAAATCTCTTCGAAAATAAGCTAAAGCTTAGCTTTAATTAGAAATAGTTGACATTAAGCCATTCCAGTATTTTAACGGCTTTCTATGTACAAAAGTTTTGAGCGCATTGGTTGTTACCATTTGCAGTGGATAATGAGGTTTGAAGTTAGCAAGTGCATGAAAACAGCGCTTTTGACCAAATCGTTGAAAGCGCAATATGGCTAATACAGCCGCTTCTTGAACGACCGGTCGCTGTACAGCGCAAAGGAAGCGTTCGAAAATCGAAAAGTAAACGGAGACATCTGTGGTGAGAGGCAGTGGCTTCACCACAGCCGATATACAGTCCATTAAAACAGCAATACGTTCATCATATTCGTTCGTATGCTGCACACGCTTATAGTATTCCTCGGCTAGTGGCAATAACTGTTGCTGTAGTAAAGTATCTACAAGTTTAATATTTCGTTTGCAAAAGATGGCGAAGGCGTACATAAGATTTGCTAGCTTGCCGCTCTTAAGTTTTGTCACTAGATTCGTCAAAACTTCGAGTGCTTTTGGTTTGAAGGGTTCAAAGTGATATTCGAATCTTAGCATTGATAGGAGTTCTCTATGACGTAAATCCTTTGTATCCATATTGTATGTTGTAGACATTAACAAATGTTGAATAACGGTGATTAATGCATCTGATTTATCATAATTAGATTCGTAGCGATGTGGCAGCGTGGTAGGATACCAACAAAGTACTTCGTAAATCATTGGTGATGCATTCTTATTGTGATAATATAAGCTTTTGGCAATGAATAGGCGCGCAGGATTGTGTACAGCATTATGGAGAGGTATAACAATTAAGTACAATTGGGTGAGATTCAAAAGAGTGTTTAATGATAACCTTTCATTCCACAGGTAACTAAACAATCTACTTTCAATTTTTAGCAGCACCTCAGCGATGATCTCCGGGCGTTTTTGCTGTAGGTGCCGCAACACGATCAATATAAGTCGTAAGTGTGTACCGATGTATTTTGGTGGAACGCGTGCTAACTCACAATTCAACTCGATTTCTGGGCGCGGTGCTTTGCAAATTTGTTCAATTATCAGACTGGCTAATATTTCACAATCCACCATTTGCTCCAGTAGAGATGCGGCAAGTGTAGAAGCCGTTACATCTACTTGGTCACGGGTTTTGTTCAGGAAGTCTGCGAGTTGAAGTGCGATTTTAGATTCTACTTCACTTTTATTCCTCTTTCCCGTTATGGTTGCAAAAAGTTCAAAAGAATATTTCCTGATAAAGTTTTGGAGTACACTATTTTTTTGGCTAGATGGATAATGGCTCCTGTTCAATTCCAAAGGAATTGTTTGTGTTATTTGCGTGTCAACTAATAAGTTTTCACTGACTGTCTCTGGTGGAGGTGAGTTTGGTGATTCTGAATTTAATTGATTAATCGTTGAATCAAGCTCAGGATTTTGCATACCTATTTCTAAGCTCAGTTCTGAACTGGATGCCAAGGTGCACTCAGATGTGCTAACGCTTTGAACGATTTGGGGTGTTAAGTGCTCTGAATGGCATATCGCAGGATCATTTGAGTCCTTTGTTGGCGAGGATAAGCCCTCATCGCTACTTAATGGGTTATCACGCTTTTGTTTATCTCGCAAACGTGCTGAGCGTTTACAGAGTGCAACGGGAGTCATAGAACGTTTTCGTTTTCGACCACGCCTACATGGCACTTTTTGCTCATTTGCTGATTCAAATATGCTATTGACTAGTTGTTTTGTTGGTGAATTTCCCATAACTGATTGTGTAAGTAGAACAGAGATTTCGAAATCACTGCTACTTGATGGAGAAAGACTTTTTGAGGATGTCTGAGAAATTCTATAATCGGATGCAGCATCGTAGTCCACGCTGGAATCGGAGTGGGTTCTAGTTTTACATATTTTTTCAGGAGTTCCTTCGACTATAACAAGTATGGGTTCGTCGACTTCTTCATTTTCATTGTGAGAATTGTATAAAGGTTGAATAGATGCTGTTTTTGTTGATGTTAATGAAATAGCCTCATTTTGTTGGAACTCTGTTGCTTTCATTGAACACTGATATTTATAAGTGTCTGCAAGCTTAGTACTTTCGGTCCCTTTGGTTAACTCATTGGTATCAGGCGGAAGGATATTCGGAAGAAAATTATGTATTTTATGTATTTCTTCAAGATTGTTGGTAATATCTGCACCATTGTTTATGGAATGGATCTGGAATGGATCTGTGACCCTCATACTACTGAATTCAGTTGCATTTTCTTTTAGTTCTTCTTGCTTATGGGTTCTTTCAGAAATGTTCGTTAGTATCCCAATGTTTTTGGTTTCCTCAAACATATTATGTTCCAAACACTCTTTATGGAAAATATTTTTTTCAGGTTCTTTCAAAACAGCACACATTTCAGTATTCACATCATTTGAGATAAATATATTATCGAATATTGTAGAGCTATTTGTATCTTGTTGTTCTTGTAGCGAGCTATTTGTTTGTGTAATATCAACGTCGCTATCATCTGAATCACTTCCAAATATTTTATATGCAAAATTAAGGTTTTGTTTAGTTTGTTTTTCACATACTTTCTGCAGATTTTCAATTGAACATCTGGTATCAGTCATTTCGAAACTATCACATTTGCTTCTTTCACTGTCGTACAGTTGAGGTACTTTTATGTCTTCAGACATGACCAYATTCGCACTGCTTTTATCTTGTAATAATATTAATTGGTTTTCATTAGCACATAACGAGTTGGGTCTATCTTTTTCAGCATTAATATCTAGATCGATACTAGTATTATTTAGTTGTTTATCCTCACTATGCTTTTCATTTACAGATTCATTACTACAATCATCTTCTAAATGTGCTGAGTAGATACTTTCCGACACAGTACCATTTCGGCCGTTCTCTAAATGGCAATCTTGATTGCAGCTGTAAAGATTGGCGCAAAATTCGACAGCAGTGAGGAAGATTTTTTCATTTTGGTCTACTATAACTTCCCTATTACCGGATTTAAAATCTGTTTCGTTATTAATAATAGATGTCGCGACTAGTTTTGTCCTTTTTGTTTTATACCGTTTCTTTAGTTTTTTGTTATTCTTGCGATGTCTGGTACCTTCTGTGTGTGGTTCTTCTGTGGCAATTTTCTGGCCACGCACTTGTTTGACGGATCGCTTTGGTATTTCGAGTGGTTCCTTGAATATCCATTTTTCAAAATTCTCACATCCACCATGAGTTTGTGTACTCTCATCTGTACTAATATTATTATCGCTAAGATCACTCATTGAATTAGTGTTGCTATCATAAGCGATTTCTCTCGGGGTACCTGAAATATACATATTTAAGTATATTTTATGCATCAAAAAGTTTGATTACCTTCAAATTGTGTTGAAACGTCGCTAGAGTGTGTTATATTCGTATTATTTACCCTATTTAAGTCAAAGGTGTTTTCCCTCCTATTTACTTCTTGCTCACATTGCGTTGGTAACGGTGATTCTGCTTGTTGCTGTGAAATTTGCCTAGATTCGTATAACGTATGTATCCAATTATTAAACTGTTGCAAGGTATGTGAATCATTAGGTCTATTAAACTGTTGCGCTCGCAAGTGCTTACTGGTAGACGAGTATAGAAGTCCCATAAACATTTGTCCAGCCATTTGCCAAACCGTAGAAAATACATCTGGATGCATTTCGGGAAGGTTCGTTAATGCACTTATCAATGGTTGTAAATTACTAATATTGTTTAAGTTATTGTTGGTCGCTAAACCCGAAGTTTCAGCATTTTCATTAAGTTGTGTTGTAGCTAGAGGTGATAGTGGTGGTGGTGTTGATGATGGGGTGGCGTTGATTTCGTACTTCACATTATCATATATAAACGGCAAACTGGATTGTGAACGTTTAAATGGTTCCATAATTGGAATATAATCTATTTGGCGTTGCACATTACACATATAAGTGCAAGTGCCTATAGACTTAGATTTATCAGGCAAACTCAACAATGTGGTAGCTTTTGATAAATCAAATTCATTAGAACTTGTTTCCGGTATTGGATCGGATATTGGACTAAGCGGTGATACGTTCCATACTTCAAAAAATTTGTCAACCAATGTCGCTTCTAATGGAATTAACTTTGGTTCTGGAAAAATTGTACCGACATTATGTCTTTTGATAAAGCATGAAGTTGATGTGCCCCGTGTTGTTGTAGTGGATATATGTTGTGTTCCTTGTGAACGCAATTCAATTAAGTTTGTTTGTACCGCTTGATTCTGCGTACTCTTAGTGAGCTTTTTCTCTGTTTGCAATGTTTGTGCACACATATCTCTCGCTAATGGGGCAACTGTTTGTGTGTGCATATGATTGCTTTGTATTACTGATGTCTGGGTGGATTGTGCAGCGACTTGCCTTGTTACAAGTGTATCTGAAGCGTTCAGCAGGTTACATTGAATATCTTTATCTTTTCTAAGTTTACGCTTATTTTTAGCCCTTACTTTCATAAGAGGCACTTTCATACCCCTCTCTTCACAGTAACGAGTTAAATCATCTAAAAGTGGCTTGTCATATAATTTCACTGTTTCATCTTCGTTGAGTTTTTGCACTAATTTCAGATATTTAATTGCTAATTCCGTAAAGCTTAAGGGACCTTTTGTATTATCTAATTGAGCTTCTAATTGTTCCAACTGCATTTGTTTCTCTGCCACTTCATTTTCCAATCGCCCGCAATGTTCGTGCAGATTATTTGATTTGAGCTCTCCAGTTTGGTACTGCATTTGCAAATCCAAGCACTTCTTTTTTTCATTGTCATAAAGTTTGTGAATTTGATTGGCCGATTTCTGAAAATCTCTTAGCTTCAGCTGTATATTCGAATTTTCCATTTTCAACAAATCAATTTTATTAACCAATTCATTACATTGAGCAATTCTTTGCGCCAGATCTTTAGCTTTATAGGAATTGGCGCGAATAGGAGTTGTATTGGTGATAGTCGTGACAGGTTTTTGGACTTCTTTCTTACTTGGTGGTGAAAGCTCTAAAAAGTCCAAGTTTAAATCTTCGTAATTGAATGGATGCTTCTCGTCGGTCATGGCTATGTGTGTGCAGTGGGCGCCGCAATGGAGAATGTAAAATAGTGAAAGTGCACAATTTAACTACATTACATGAAAATGTGTGTTGTCATTCACGGCTAATGGGCTGAAATATACACATAATTATCAATAATTCCTTAGTTAAAAGTAAAACTAACGTTAAATTACCAATTAGCACGAGTAATGGAAATCAACGATGAAAAACGTTTGACCACAATGTTTATAAATGTCAAAACTTGCCGGTTAGAAGAAGCATATATTATTGTGAACGGCTATCCCTTGGAAGAGTTGCCAACCACCCAGCGGCGAAAATTTAGATGCTACATAAAACTCTATGCAATTTTGATAAATATACATCGTATACAATTATTTTAAATCTGTTTTTCAAATGAATATTATATCACGGTTCTTTTAAAACTTATTATTCTAAAACAACATATTTTTAGAAACAATTCTTAGTTCGCAGAGCTAATTGTGAATACAAGGATATTATGTCATCTTGAATGACATGTTTCCGGTTGTCTGTTCGGCTGTTTTAATTTTTGGTTGAAGAGAAAGTGTTTTTAAAAAAGAGACTGGTAAATATTTAAAAGTATGTGTGTATTATATAAAGTGATAATTTTCCCTCTGAAAGTGCTGTTGCACGAATATTGAGCATACATTGTTAAAAAAGCAAATGATTTTGTGGGAAACAAACAAAGCATTCATTGTAGTACCACATCGTAACAAAATGGCGTATGAGCGTAAGTTAAAATCTTATTTGTTTCTTTTTATTGCGAGAAAAGACTTGAATACGAGAAATTATGTTTATTAACACCAAAAACAACCAATTGAAATATAATTTAACTATTTTCAATAGTTCCGGCTGATTAGTTACTGAGTTTAGCTGAAATTTGCCGGTCGTCCATGTGCATATATTGCATATTTATTTATTATTGTATAATTGTATTGCACGGATGGCCATTCATTTGTTTATACCAATTGTTAGTTGAAGTTCAAGCTATAACATAAAATTATGAGTTGCTGCTTATGTTATAAAATCCAAATGTCAAAAAATTACTAAGTGTAAAATGGCCGTTGCTATTTTGAGTTTGTTATTGCTTTTTAAAAGCTGTCTGTGATTTGGAGGTTATTAGAGGGCGTATCGTCTTATATTTTACTTTACGTATATTATTGTTAATTCTTTAAGAAATTTTTATACCTTGCTATTTTTGTCGTATTCGCTTTTCATTCAGTACATTTTAATACAAAGTTTCATATATGTATGTGTGTATAGACCAAGTTCACTTCACCCATTATCACCAGTATATCATATGACATTACATCACAAAAAAATCATAACATCACCTCTTCATTTCACTAACCATATCTAGACGGCTGGTTTGTGTCTTCATATATAGAGCAAGTCCAAATTGTGCACAATCATTATCGTATGATATTACCACACTTGACAAAATAATCATATCATCACCACTTGAGGGCACCCTATCTAGACGGTTGGTTTGTTCAAAAACCAACAAATACTGTAAAGCCTACATTATCATTTGGATTTCACACGATCATACATCATACGGCAATAACACTGGCAAAACGGCTACGACTACCATATCATGTGATCATACATCGCATTACATAATATTAATAATACTATTTCTTGACGACATTAATTGTGTCTAAACACTTACTTCTTATATGAATATGTATATGCACCATGTATTCGAGATGAGATCATATGATACGAAACTCACCTATGTCTTCTGTTTTGAGTCTGACAAATAAAGCGCGCATAGTTTATACTCACAAATCATTCATAAAGTTCCGCCACAATGCAGATTTTGAATACAGATTAAACTCAATTCTTCTGATTCTCGGAATGATAAATCGCGTGGAATGACATTGTGGTACATATTAATTGCTGTAAATTGTGAACATWCCACGTAGATCAACAACCTCACAAGTAGTTGGTGCCACAGTTGACACTTTGACTTGAACTGTGGTTGGTCATGCCATATGTATGGCATGTACACGTATGTGTGTTGGCTCTGACTCTTAATAGTCGACTCTATTCAAGTCTAATTTGTCATGAAATAGTGAAATATTTTTGCTGCACTAGGGCATTGAATTCCAATGTGATGATGATGACGGGTCTCCACAAGAATTTGCAATGCTCACAATGGCAACTCAATCAATCTGTGCGGCAATTGCACTACAATTGAAATGAGCAAGAGCACAGTGGCACTCACTCGCACTCAGGCAGGCGAAGTCACCGGAGTCAGAGTCACAGTTGCTGTTACAGCGATAAACGCAGTTGAAGGCCATTGCTCATACATATATATTTATGTGAGTGTGTGCGTGTAACGTAGCCACAACTATGTGGTGTGCAACAACAATCTATCAATATAACCGCAAATGTCATCAACAGCCTGCCCCGAGAAATATATGTATGTGCGAATGTGTATGCAGTTAAGTGTGGAAGAAAAGTGCCGCAGGAAACTGATGCACCGAAGTGAAGTGAGCTGTGTTGGGAGGTTAGGCGGCTTACAAACATACATATATACACACATACAAACACAGATACTAGTTACTAGAGTCATGCCCACACTAGTTGTGCGAGTGACACTCGCTCTTATCAGTAATGCAATTTATGCTTCTGCTGTTGATGGGAAGTAGAAAAAAGGTGCATTCGTTGTGCATTTGATTGTGCTGCCGCATAGCCGCATATTGGTGTAATGTCAGCACAATCACGTATCTGCCACAATCATAGAGACACACTTTAATTGCATTACGATTGGTCATGACAATAGCGCCTAGTGCTGCTTGGCAGTGGTGACCGAGCGGAAGGAAGAGAAAAGCGGGACAAATGAAAAGTCAAGTACAAAATGGTACTCTGGCTTTGATCAGCAGATATTGACTCTGCGAGCAATTTGCAGACACTTATTGTACCAAGGATCATTATTATAGCAATATCTTACAGTAGATTTTTGCAGAGTTAGTTTTGTATTCCACTTACTTTGAGGATGTAAATATACCGTTTGATCCAAAACTATTTGCTAGTTCTTTAGAGACACGGTATTTGATATTAACCACTTCTAAGTCGTATTAAAATTACTTAATACTTAAGGAGAAGTATTAACTTCAACAACAATGTCAGCCTCGTTATTCAATACAGATTAACTCTAGCTAACAAGTGTTACTTCGGACTGAGTAGGCAATTGAGAAGTAAAGTTCTCTCTCGACGAATACCAAACTCTTTCGGTCAGTATTATTCTCGTCCTGCTATATATTGCAGAGGCATGGACGATGACAACATTTGATGAGTCGGCAGTCAGAGAAAATCTCGTAGTGAAAGAAATATCGTCGGTTCAACGTCGTCGACCTGTACGGTTGTATCTCTCTCCGACGGCAATATGGCGAAATTTGCGGACACATTTGGCTTTGCATTCCTATAAGATTGTGTTGGCACAAGAATAGAAAAAGGTAGACCATTTTGAGCGCCGTAGCCTTTTCAATTGGACGCTGGAAGGCCATTGCATTCCCAAAAATTGAGCGTTTAGTGCGGATTATGGTATGCCAGCAAATGCTCTTACCATCAATAGCGAGCGTAACAACACGATGTGGGCCGACATTTTTATCGATTTCGACGCGGACGATCTCTATTTGTAACAAAACGGTGCGCTGCTCCATTTTCATGGCCAAACATGGACACATTGTGTGCCCGACATCTCTCGCTAGTCTGTTCGAATGATTTTGATGGATTTTTTGGGTATGAAATACGTTCTGGCTCGACTCGTCCCGAGAAAGCTGAATTTTTTTAAACAGGTCTCTTTGGTCATACTTGATCGTGCGTATTCCTTGAGCTTGACATGCAAAAAAGTCAACAAACATCGGAACGGAGAGAAAAAACCACGCCAAAGCCACTCAAGTATCAAGGTGATTCTCATTGTTATTTCGATATTCGTGCTTTGGTGCATCATGAATTTATTTCGGAGGAGCAGACGGTCGATATGAAGTTTTGTTTGGCCGGATTGAGGCGGATGCAATGAGAACATCTGAAATTGTACAAAAACAATTCATGGATTTTACACGATGGTAATGCAGCATCGTATCGAGCCACAACTTGTGATCGGATTTCAATCCAAAAACACAAAGAATACCATCAACCACCATATTTACCAAATTTGGCTCCCTGTGAATTTTTCTTGTTCCCCAAACTAAAATTGCCGCTCCGTGGAACCCGTTTTCAGTCGATAGCAGAGATAAAACAAAATTCGCTAAGGCAGCTGAAGGCCATTCCAAAAAGTGCTTATGAAAATTGTTTCCAGGATTGAAAAAATCGTTGACATATTAAATGTTCACATCGATTTATTCTTCATTCATTCTTTCATTGAGTCATTAAAAATTTTCGAGCAGTCAGTTATAAGGGCCACTGTACTCCCAACCTTTCATATTATCATCTGTACCACCTGCGGTTGTGGCTGCACACGGCCGTTGCGCTAATGTTCAACTGACGCTGGCACTGACGTTGTGCTGCGTTATTRCGACTCTGTCATTGTCATCGTCAACATTGGTGGCAGCCACATACACAAGAGTTGATACACATACAGAAAATATGCTAACTTGCGAAGACAAAACCAAGTGTAGTGACAACTGAAATGCCAACAACAGCCACAACACATATGTATGTACATTGCAGGTGAGTTAAAGGAGCATATAAATGACAGCGCCGTTTACCACAACTATTTGCCCAATGGTGCTTATGCGAAGAGTCATATTCATATGTATGTAATTGGATGAGTATTAAAAGCGCAACTGCATATTATCAAACGCATGAGTTTTCCGCCTACGAATTATAAATTCTTAAACATATACATTAATATATATTCATATATGTATGGGGATAAGTACATACACACGATTAAACGCCCACCAAGCAGTTGTACACTAGTTTACAATAATAAATACAAGTAATATGGGGGCACGTGTTGCGGTCGCTTGCTTTTCGTGAATTAGGTCGCTGCCGGTGAAAGTATTACGACTGGAATAGTGAATTTCCTGGAGACTTGCCGCGTCCGGTGTTGAGGTAGGCAAAGGCGAAATGTTGCACGTCGTCGTCGTCTCATTTCCGTCGTGTCGCTCAAATGCCCTAAGCGCTCGTGTCTGCGCGCTTGTTAGACCTTCCGTTCGACCGCGTTGCTGTGACCATTGCAATAGCG